TTTAAAAAATTAATAAATAAAAAAGAAATTCATTAAAATATATAAAAAATAAAAAAAATCATAGGTAATATATGATTAATTAGAAATATTGTCGCAATACAAACTCAATAAAAGTGTATTAATTAAAAATTCACTAAATAAATAATTTAAAAATAAATAATTTATTAAACATTTTCTTTATCCGTCTTATTGCAAGTAAACCTACTATACCCTCAACTCCACAAAAGTAGTTTGACTCAAAGCCATTCGTCTCGCTTGAATTAACTTAACTATTGTGATATTCGCAACTTTATTTGACTGACTGTTATATTATAAAATATAATAATATAATTATAGTCTAGACATATCAGCTTTTCGATATCGAATCGCGTTGATTATCAAACACCAATCTAATTCATCAAGCTTAATTGAATTTTTTTTTTATAGGAAAACAAGGTTGACCCAGATATGGAGGCCACTGGGACTAGCAGCTCGCTGATGCCCTTTAGCGAGGATGGAACACGTCTGCCGCTGCACATAGAGCAACTGCCCAATGATCTATGGATCGAGATTATGACATATTTGTCATTCAGAGACTTGCAGCAACTGCGTTTGGTATCTTGGCGCTGTCGCGAATTGGTCAATCGACGGTATTTCACATCCAAGGGCAAGGTGATTGTTACCAAAGAGAATCTGATTGCAATGAAGGCGCACATCGAGCGTGGAGTTTCGTATTTGCGCTTCGACGATGTTGAGTTGCGTGATCTGACGCAAAGTCCCGAGCTGTCGCAGTTCTTGAAGATGGTGGGACCGGAGGTGAAGCACATGGAGGTCCGGCATGCGCCAGTCTTTCGTAACATGGATGGCAAGCTGCCCAATTTGAAGATCTTGAAAATAGTTACCACCAGCTTCCTGGATGATGTCAACATGACCATCGATGGCATCAATATGAAGCAATTCATGCATCTGACCGGCTTCGAGTGCGATGGCGTCAGCTTGGATGCAGCTCTGAAGCTGTTGATGCTGTTGCAGCTGCGCCGCGTGGAGAATAAGGTGCGATTGCGTCATCTGCAATTCGAGTATCGCCGTAACAATGAGACTGCACTGCTGCAGGTGCTCTACGATCATGCGCCGACCTTGGAGTGCGTTGACCTCTTCTTCAGCTGCTCGCCGGGCATCGAAACTCTGCGCTGGTGTGCGGCCTTCAAGCGGATGAACAATCTGCGCACTCTCAAGCTCTCTGGCAACTGTCATCTCGTGCTCCTCGATGATATTCTGGACGCGATTCCCGAAACGAGCAAACTAGAGCACCTCGATCTCACTGGCATGCTGTCGCTAACCAATGAAATGCTGCTCTGCATAGCGGACAAGTGGCACAAGACTCTGCGCTCACTCGATCTCATGTTCTGTGTGCAACTGGACGTGCGCTGTGTGTCGGCCCTGCGTAAGATGAACGGCTGCCTAGAGTCCTTGACCATGGCCTACTGCCGCGCACTGACCGGCAGGGGCCTCGTCGAGGGCCTGACCACGCAGATAAACTATACGCTGCAGGAGCTCTTCCTGGAGGATGTGTGCTTCATCGATGAGGCGTCAATGTGCACAATGCTGGAGCGTCTGCCCAACCTGCGCAAGCTCAGCCTGGACAACTGCCGCCAGGCAACCACCGATCGCACCCTCTCCACCATCTTCCGCCACCAGACACTGCTGCGCCTCCTAAGGATCGACCACTGCATCAAGGTAACCGACATGGGCTTCATAGGATTTGGCAATCAGCCGGCGCCCATCAGTCGCTTGCGCGGCTTGCATGAGCTCAATGTGCGAGGCTGTCGCAATCTGACAGATCGTCTGCTTAAGCGAGCGCTGCATCTGCCGGAGCTGCTGGACCTCACGCTGGACTACTGCAATCGCTTGGAGGCCAATGGCATAGCGGCGCTCAGTGTCAACTGCCCAGCCCTGGAAAAGCTGTCCGTGGCCAGCTGCTCGCTGATCAATGACGATGCGGTGGGCTACATCGTTGTCAATTTGAAACGCCTGCGCAGTCTCACCATCAGCAACTGCTCGATCCTCACACTGCAGGCCTTCAAATATATTGCCAAACATGGCCGGAATCTGCGGGAATTGATTGCTTGCAGCATTGATGGACTCGACCAAGATGCAGCACAGAAGATTCTTTCGCGACAGCTGCCAGAACTGAAGCATGTGACGCTATAGCAGGAGAGGCTGGTTCACTGACTAGACGAAAACAATCCCCACGCCGGCTGGGGAACCGACGACGAGGACGAACCGGAAATCATCGAGATTGTTATCTGAGCCAGATCTATGCAATACGATCGAATCTACTTCTATTCACTGTCTAATCTGACTTTAGTGATTATTTTCTATATTATAATAATTACTTCCTATATTTTAATCTAATTTATTCAAATTGTTTTACGCATGTTTCCCTTTCTCATGTCTCATGTTTTTGTTTATTACATAGTAATATATATTTAAGTTTTACACAAAACATTAAAATGTGCTTCACAATGTCGTAAACTTTAGGTGAAATCATATACGTATATACAAATTCATACACTTAGAGGAAATGTTGTAATTCGCTCAACAGTTAGTTGAGATAATATTATATATACATATACAATAACTCATGTAACTGCTATGGTTCTCAACTCAACAATAGTTCAAGCCAAAAAGTCATGCTACTAACATACCTCTAAATAAATGAATCCAAACATTTCAAAAAGTCAAAATTCTTCAAGAACTATCAGATACATGAAAGCTATCCAAAAATTTTGTTATGTGATATAGCAAAGTATAATGATGATCCCAAGCAGAATTGGGAAAACTAGTCAAGTCTAGACTTACCAACTTATCGAGCTTCACTACAAGACACTTTTATTGTGAGTCATATATTATGAGCAGATATACATATATACTATACAGAACAGATATACATATATATGTCTAAAATATATTCAAAGTGTCAAAATTATTGAGCAACATAACGATCATAAGATCAATACGATATATCGATGTATTTACTCTATATGTACAAAAATGCCGCCCATTGCGAACTTGCACCATAATCGAAAATACTTATATACATATATATCTATATAGATATACAGATATTTATCCGCATTTACATTATACAATGCCAAATACAGAATGAGGCTTTCAATACTAATTACTTGAACTTGAACTTGTGTAAAATTTGATCGACTTAAATGATCAATGAAATAGCTCATAACTAATATTGATGAGATTTCTTATATGGGTCGATAGCATTTATTAACAACATTTCCCTCTCCCATTAATTATGCTGAACAAGTGTATCAGATGAGCACCTGTTGCATAAAAGTACATCAATTGAGCTAAGTTAAATAAAACAAAGCAAAAGATTTCCCGGAAATAGCCCTCTGATTATTTAAATCAGTTGAATTTTACACAAGTTTTGGGAATATTTACGAATAGAAATAAAAACTTAAATACTTAGGGTATTCATTGAGGAAGGAAAACAAATTTTCTCAACTATCCTAGTTTAGTGATTCTAATTAATTTATAATGATATTGAAAAATCATGAAAAGGTTGTTTACTGACAGCTAACAAATCTGTGGTTTGAAAAGAAAAGAATGAAATTGATTTAAGATTGTATTGTTTTAAGGTTTTTTTTTTTTTTTTCTTTTTCTTTTTTAACAGTACCATATCATACTTAAGTGTATGATATAACATGTGGAAGTAGAATGAATACATTTTAAGAATAAATATTTAGTAGTTTGATAGTATTTACAAACATATTATATACATAAATATATATATACTACAACTATATAATTATTGCCATGCGCAACTGAGTAGATATTTCATATGTGTTGTTGATTGCATATATTATACGATTGGTTCTTGCCAAGTCTTTAATACTAAACGCATATAAACTTTTGTGTCATAACCCATGCATTGGTAAATGTCTATTGAATAGGTAACGAAGAACGATGTTCCGGGCTCCGATCCCGGTGAAGGCTGGTTGAATACGTGTCCAGTGATTTAATGATATATTTACTGACTTCATTTGATCAAGTCTTTGTCTTTTGATATAGGGAATATATGAGTGTATTCACATTTCTCTATAATTATAATAATTTGTCTTAAGTCTTACCGAACGATTTATCACATAACATAATAAAATTGATGTTGCATCTCAATCTATTTGTCTAACTATATAAAATTGTTTGATTTCTTTTTCCTGTTATTTTTTTAAGTGAAAAGGAAGCTGACAATTGGGAAATTGTAGTTATACTAAAAGTCAACTGGAATACTTAAATCTCTGCAAGTTAACGAAACACGAGACTGGAAAGCGCCTGAGATAAAATGAATTGGACTCTAGACTCCGAGTTAGAACAAAGGCGGCGGTTTAAGCATTCAATATTATTCAGATCATTATACACCGTTAATAAGAGTATATATTAAATGTATGCAAGCAATCTTAATATGATAAATCAAACACACACGAGCTCTAAACAACACAGGCCAACAAAGTTCAGTAACGTGGAATTTTTTTGTTTATAAATTTGAAATTAATCCTAATTTCATAGATTAATTGGCTAAAAAATGAAATACAGAATCTTGCCCCTATCACATGTCTTTTTACTCTGCTTCTCGATTCGTAAATACTGCTACTTAGTGTAACTTTCGCTCTCTAAAATCTGTTGAACACTTTGTATATGTATATGAAATTATTGTAGTTAAGTTGCCGTATATAAGCAAACAGAGAAGCCAGATTGCAGTTAGAGATTTTAAAGCAAGCAATTGCTGAAGCTCACACATACTCTCCCCCACACACGCACTCACACACATGTAGCTCATGACAGCCACCATTTTCGTGTAGTCTCCTTGTCTATGTATGTGTGCAACTATTTCGAAAACAACGCACGCACTTTGACACCGCCGGGTGGGGGAGGGAGGTGGCTGGGGAAGTGGGTGTTCAGTTAGTTAAGGTGGCGCTAAACGAAATAATATAAATGAATGAGATATATGTGTGTGTATCTAATATATATGATGCGGCCAACGAAAATGTCACTCGTCAGCTACGTGGAACGGAAAATAGATCTGGCACTGACAAAACGCATGGAATGAAACTTTTTGCCAGCCGTCATCGTGGGGTTTCTTATTGCTGCTCTTGTTTATGTTGGCATCGGAGTGTGGGTGGGTAGCTGGCAATGTTTTTTTTTTTTTTTTTTTTGCGACCATGAGAAATTGTGGCCAAAACACAAACAAAGCCAGGCACAGACCGAAGCACTTACAAATATGCACATGTCAACTGGCAGCGGCAGAGGCAACGACAGCAGCAGAAGCAGCAGCAGCAGCAGCGACAGCGACGCGTCGTCGTGGATAGAAATCTGAATGAAATTGTCGCCAGTGCTTATCAGATAAGTTCAGAGCGCGCTAGCGTGCGGTTCGGGTTCGGGTTTTGGTTCGCAACTCGGATACGGGCAACGGGCTTAATGCAGCTGGGCTCAATGCATTCAAGCATTGTCATATAGAGCTGCGAGCTGTGAGCTGTGAGCTGAGAGCGGCTAGCTGGGAGCTGCTTGGCCAGTTGTTGTAATCAAATGAACGCAGTGTCCAGCGTCCAGTGCTCGTAGCAATCGCTGGGCGGGGGCATTTGGCAACGTGGCTGGATTCGATCGCGACCTCGCTGGGCCGGCTATATACTTTAGTGTCGTCTGTTGTGTGTGTGTTGCGTGTCAGTCAAGAAACGAGTTGAGTTGAGTCGAGTTGAGCGGAGATTGGCTAGCTCAAGTTCTGTGGCGCTGTTACCTTAGTCGTGACATCGAATTATAATAATTAGCATATGGGGATATATTGGCAGTTAAGCGGCTCTCCACATTCCAGCGCAAGTGGAAATTTTGAATGAATATAAACAAAAAAGCGCACAGTTGAAGGAAAATTTCGAGCAAACATGTCGCCGGCAACCGAGCCACCTGCCATCAATCAGAACGTGTCAGCAATTAGCCAGCTGTTTGGGGCCCAGCGCGATCCACTGGCCATTGTCATACCCGTGACGGTGGTCTACTGCCTCATCTTCCTGACCGGCGTCGTGGGCAACATCAGCACCTGCATTGTGATCAAGAAGAATCGCTCCATGCACACGGCCACCAACTACTATCTCTTCTCGCTGGCCATATCGGATTTCATGCTGCTGCTCTCGGGTGTGCCGCAGGAGATGTACTTCATTTGGTCCAAGTATCCGTATGTATTCGGCGAATACTTCTGCATCGGCCGTGGCCTGCTGGCCGAAACATCCGCCAATGCCACCGTATTGACCATCACAGCATTTACCGTGGAGCGCTACATGGCCATTTGCCATCCGTTCCTCGGCCAGGCCATGAGCAAGCTGAGCCGCGCCATCCGCATCATATTTCTCATCTGGCTGCTGGCCGTGCTGACGGCCATACCGCAGGCGGCACAGTTCGGCATCAACAACTACGGCGGCATCGACAAGTGCGTGGTGGTGCGCGTCATAGTGCAGCACTCGTTCCAGCTGTCCACAATCATCTTCTTTTTCGCACCCATGTCCATCATCTTGGTGCTGTACCTGTGCATTGGACTGCATCTCTACCGATCGAGCGTCATTGGCGGCGGTGGCGGAGGCGGGGGCAGCGGTGGCGGCGGGGGATCGTCAGCCGGCTTTGGCTACAGCGGCGTGCGGCTCCAGAAGCAGCAAATGAAGGCGGTGCAAAGTGATACGGTACTCTACCGCTATGCCGGCTCCAGCTCGACTTTGGCGAACAGTTCGGGGCCGCAGCTGAGTTCGGTGCGAGGGCGACTGAATCATTATGGCACGCGCCGAGTGCTGCGGATGCTGGGTGAGTGTGGTTCGGCAGTGATGACAGCCAATTATGTAGAATGGCCGCAGGCTGTGAGCCCAATAACCAATTTCTGGCTATATTTGCCTGCACCGAGCGGGGGCAGAGGGCAGAGGGCAGAGGGCACACGATGAGCACGTTTAATCAGCCATTCACTGGCCCATTTATAGCGTCTGTCATTTGACATGCTCGACATTTATGAGTCGCTCGCGTTTATTGGGCCCCGAAAAAAAAAAAAAAAAACAACAACAACAACATCAAACTAAACAGAGTATAGATGATATTAGCTGATGACAGTTGTCATAGCGTTTATGAATATAAATACACATACAATTGTTCGGTTTATCTATTCGTTTCGCAGTTGCCGTCGTCATCTGTTTCTTTCTGTGCTGGGCACCATTTCACGCGCAGCGTCTGATTGCCATTTACGCGCCAGCGCGGGGCGCCCAGCTCCATGATCAGCATGAGCTCCTCTACACGGTGATGACATACATTTCGGGTGTGCTCTACTATCTGTCCACTTGCATCAATCCGTTGCTCTACAATCTGATGAGCAACAAGTTCCGCGAGGCCTTCAAAGTGAGTCTCCACTCTGGCGCTCTTTATATATATATTTGCTTATTCTTTGATTGATCTGCTGCAGGCTGTGCTGCTGGGCAAGAAGTACTCGAAGGGCTCGTTGAACTCACGCCATCAGCCGGAGTCGCGTCGCTTGCGGCGCACAACAACCCTCAACTCGTCGTCGCAGACGCAACGAGATTCCACTGAGTCGAAGCACACGCTAATGCAGGTCTGTAACACTGATCGTATGAGTAATATTACTTAAAATTACGCAATAGAACATCAATTGTTTATATGATTTCGTCTCTCCTCATCTCACTCTTCTCTCTCTATCTCTCTATCTCTCTCTCTTTGTCTCTATTTCTTTTCTCTCTCTCCCTCTCTCTCTCTCTTTCCCCCTCTCTCGCTCACTCTGTCGCTTTAGATAGCTCTAAATGAACGCCCGCTGCCGGCAAGGTCGCAACTAGTTTCGTAATTTGCAATGCACAATGCACTGCTAATTATAGTGAATTCATTTATCGATATTCATATATCGTTTTTCTGTTTACTTCTAGTGTTAACTTATTGTAATTTATAATTTTTTGCTCCCCCTATGTAAGTCGCTTTAGTTTTTATATAAATTCTAAGCTAATTTGTTTACCAACAGCTACCAAAGCGTTTAGTACAAGTTCTAGTTTGTTTCTCATTTAGAGTTTATTTCTTACTTTAAAAATATGTCAGTTGAAAAATGTATTAATATAATTCGCATTTAATATAATTTGAAGGTTCAGACAACGCTGCAAGTATTTTTATTTATTAAAAAAAAAAAAAAAAGCTAAGTAAGTGCGACATGCTGGACTAACTAGTCGTTATTCTTAAATATATTATCTGTAGTGAAGAGATGATAAATTAAAAAATAAATTAATTAAAAGAGACTATTATAAATGTAATTCATTTCTCAAGTGAATCCGATGTATTTTGGCGTATTTCTAAGCATACAAGAATGCACTGTATTATGTACTGTATTATTGTAAAACTTATTATATTAAACATTAATTTAACGTTATATAAACAATACTGTAAACGAAGTACTATGCTAATCAGTTTCCAAAATATAAATATATATATATATAGCAATTTATACACATGTTACATTATTGTATGCATAACTCTATTATTCAGAAAAAATATTGACATATATATAAATGAGAAATTATTAAAGTATTATTATACAAAAATATATCTTTAAATCAAATTGAAATTGCAAATCTTTTCCCATTTTTAAGTCTTATAGCTTAATAAAAGTTTTGCCAAACTTTAGCTGAGCTGCGTCAATAGTTCAATCTGTCATTTTTTATTGACAAATGAGCAGAGGGTAAAAGGAGGATATCGCACTTTTCTTCTACCGGAAAGTAAACAATGTCAATGCTGAAGGAGAGTTTAATTGATGATGATGATGATGATAAAGCTTTAAGAAGTGTACGCATTGAAGTGTATTTATATTTGGTGTGAATGAAAAACAAAACACATAAAATAACTAAGTAGCAAAGTTAATTATTTTTTGTAGGGTTTCGTTAATTTGCCCATTTTTGTTGTGCTAGAGTTGGAGACGTGGAAAAAATATGTATTTTCTATTCGTTATATCGCAATGCGCGTAAGCAAAATTTGTTAGTATCGATTTGGTTTGCAGGCAAATGAAAATGAAAATGAAATGAAAATGCGCTCGGTGTTTGCATAAATAAGTAATATGTTAATCAGGTCCCACACACCGTGCACTGCGATTATAATCAGCTCAGGGTCACGAACTGCAATCGCAGGCGACTGTCAACGTGGCGAATGCGTAATATCGCTCACCCACTCAAAGGTGCATTTCTTATGAAAATGCAATCAAGCAAATGGACTAGCCACATATCATTGTGATTGTCTCCCATCCCGGCATCGACTTCTGCATTCTATTCACTGACGTATTCACAGCTAGTTGGCCATAAACACTTTCCAAATGCGTCATGATTTGGCTGCAATTAGAATTATCCCTGGCGCATAAGCATAAATCTATAAGCAAGTACAAATTGTATTGCTTACGATAGCATGGATGATATATGAATACTCTCAAATATTTTCTTCTGTTTGCAAAATTCGTATCTTCTATATATTCCGTTACTGTAGTCAGTAAAGCTCTCCTTCATAATTAAGCTAATTGAGCTAAGCTTCATTATTTATTTATYATATATACCAAAAGCACGCTCACAATATAATAAATACTAAATACTTTGTGGAGTAGTGAAAAATATATTTTTGTTTGTTGATAAAATAATAAACATAATTATATGGTACATATTGATTTGACTTAATTTTTTGTAAATATCTGGTAAGTTACTAAAAGAAATTTTATATATTATAACACTTTTATTCCAAATGTTTTGAGATGATTATTTACCGAGACTGACTTAGAGTAATTAATAAAGTATTTATCTTTATTTATCTTATCTTTATTTATGGTATTGTGCAAAAATTTTGAATCTTCTTTTAACATAAGTTTTACACAATCTGCAGAAGATTATTTGTAATTTACAGCTTTATATGTATATCTGCAAAAAAAAAAAAACTTCTTCATTCATAATTAAGCTTTTTAGTGTATATCAAAAATGTGCTAAGTAAAACAATTACAGATTTATCAATAATTATGATTCAAATGATAATTTCTTATTTGCAATAACTTTAACATAACTTTAAAACAATATATGTCTCTATTTTAAAGATAAAACTAAATACAGATTGAATTCGTGTATGTGAATAAACTGAGTTAAACTTCAGGCAAGTTATCCGTGTAAGCGTCACAAACTTCAAGCGATAGTTAATATACCCATTAAACACTTTCATTCACATATCATTCGCGTACGTCACATGGAACTAACAAATACCTTCGAGCCAATAGAAAAAAAGAAAAAATGATCCACACACTCACACACATTTATATGTATGTCGATAGACACACCCACTGATACACATGGGCCGCCCGCAAAATGACGTAGAGAGTGTGAAGTTTAGTGATTTACGAGCAATTCGGGAAACAAAAAAGCGAAATTCTGGCAAAAAGTTGTCAGCAATAACAGTTAGAAGTACAAAAAGCACCGATTTCATCCCAATCATTTAGTCGGGAAGTCAAAGAAGAAACACACACACACACATACGTGTACGTAAAAGCATTTTCGCGCGCATTCACACAAACATGGTTGTTAGTGCGCAGTAGCGCCGACAGGTGGCGCTGACGCATGCAGCGTGGGAATTTCATGAAAACAACGCGCAAATACCATGAAATTATTTCAAACAGCTACGAAGTATGTGTACGTACACACACATACACGTACACACACACACAGCTAGAAAGTTTTTATACTAGTTTCACACATAATTCAATTGCGCGTAACTGAAGTTTGTTGAAACACAATTACACTGAACGCCAAAAGGGACACTGTTGAGCATTTTTTAGGGTGAACCAAAATCATAGTAGGCTAAACAAATTTTGAAACTGAGCAGGCCATGTAATTGTAATGCTCCTTACCTCCCGTAGAACTCGTATAGCTCAGTCTGTTTCTAGCACTCGAAGTGAACGGCTGAAAAAAAATTATAAAAAAAATAAAAAAATTGTTTTAAAAAACCTGAGGTAAAAGTTTTGGCAAAAATAGTGACAAATATTTTATTTATTATTTTTTTTTTTTCTTATTGAGGAAAAATTCGTTTTTGGATATCAATTTCTTGTTTTTTTTTTTTTTTTTGGTTTTTTTTTCTGGCCCTGCAGAAGTATGGCTAACGTTATCAAGAAGGTTGTGCCAATGCTGGATCGCATTTTAATACTGCGCGCCGAGGTAAAGACTACTACAGCAGGAGGCATCTTGCTGCCAGAGGACTCAGTGCCCAAGGAGATGCAGGGTGTCGTCGTAGCTGTGGGACCCGGAGCACGTAACCCCGTTGGTGCTGGACACTTGCCGGTGGGCGTCAAGGAGGGCGATCGTGTGCTCTTGCCGAAATATGGCGGCACCAAGGTGGACATGGATGATAAGCGCGAATACGTGCTATTCCGCGAAAGCGACATCTTGGCCAAGCTGGAATAAGCCAAAGTCCATACACTGCATCGACTATCGGCCCATTTTACATGAAACATCGCACACTTAGACAGATCGGGGACTTATAACACAGTTCAGATACAATACACACAACCCACACTGCGTTCGAAACTAAATGATTGATGAAATGTTGTATTTGGTAGCTAAACACTTGAATAATAATACTACACTTGATAATACTAAGGAGCACAGGCACATCACAGGCGACTTACACAACTATGTTAGGATATGACAATAAACAATTGTTCAGATTGCGTTTTTTCTTTAAAGAGCATTAAAATGAAAGCTTTTCCTTTTGGTCGGGCTCGAGCACGCGGTCTAACCCCTATGTCTCCCATATCAGCCTGTTGCTGGTCCTGGCAAAGTAACGGAACGGAACGCAACGCTCATTGGCGGCATTGCGTCGGTCGTGCGTTGGCGGCGTTGCCATCGTCGTCCTTCGTCTGGCCCAGCTGCTTCGTGTGTGGACGCTCGCATTGGCTGTCGTTATCTCATTGCCGTAACGGCTCTCTGTTATATATATTGTGCACGGGTCGAGCTATAAAAGGCGCACGTCTAACGCATTTTGCTGCCAATTCGAAAAGTGTTTCGAACACACGCATTCCAGTTTACACCTGCATCACAGAGCACCTACACAGCGCAACTGTTGCACAAAGTTTTTTATCGCCAGTGCATTAAAAGTGAAGTTGAAAGCGGGCCACAGTTGATATCGTACAAATTCCCTTTGACAGTTTAAAACGTGCTCACTTCGATCTGAAAATGTGCTGCCAGAAATTTAGCTGGACTATCTTTGTATTTCTGGTCCTCTTTACGCTTGTGACAGGTAAAGTACCAAAAGAAATCCCTTTTTTTTTGATACAAATTGACGCATACTTTGTATAGTATTTGTATCAAAATTTGTTTTTCTTTTTTTTTTCAAAAAGTATATAAATATTANTCGGTTTTATAGGTAGCCAAAAACGGATCAGCCTAAAAGTATGCTATAAAAATGCAGTTGCATCTTTTATGGCTTTGTCCTCTGAGTTTTACCCTTGCTCTTAATAAACCCGCTTATTAATTAATTATAAAACTAAGATTATATGGCAAGCTTCAGTTGAGTTATAGAGGTTAGTGGTGGCTGCATAACTAGCGTGACTTTTAATGACGCTTGCCCTAATTGTTATCGCCTATCTGCACTCTATGTAGGTCAGCAAAGGGAAGAAGGGGGAAACTCAAAGTTATCATTAAACATCAACAAGTTTTTTGCAAATAGAATTATATCGATCTCAGTTGCATAATGGATCATAATTTCAATTAGATCAGAATTTAGCAGTGCTCGACTCAAGAGTTGGATTATCATGACTCCATTGCATTTTAGTAGAACCTGCACATAGTACATATTTAATAACAGCAACATGACAAAACTAGCGCTGACCATGCGTCATTGGAAAAGCCTTCTTAGAATTTCCCACAATAATATGCGGTGTCGGCCATAAAAGCAAGAACCACCAACTACCTGATTAACACATATTGCTGTTAATATTATGTTGTTCCTGTTCTTTCATTCTTTTTTTTTTTTGTTTTTTTTTTTTTTTTCTTTTTTTGCAAATTGTAATGCGCATTATCTATTTTATGCACATTTTCCCGTTGCTCTTTGATCAAGTCGTGCCACGCCCATTAGTTAGCACGCCCATCAGGCATATTTGCTATAATTTTTCGTTACGTCGCGGCGTCAACTGCGTCGATTGTCACACGGCAACGGTATACAAAATGCCTGCAAATGCCCCAGCGATTTTAATTGCAGTCGTAAATTAATCCAAATTGCGTGCCAAATAACAGCAACAACAACAACAGCAACAACAGCAATAGGAGCAGCAATAGCAATAGCTTCAGCTCCACTCTTAGGTGACGAAGCAAAAAAAAAAAAAAAAGAGTCGTGTGAACCACTCAAGCTGTGCCACCGCCTGCAGCCCACTGCAGTTGTGGTTGCTTGCGGCTTAATACGGACCATGCTTATCCTCAGCACAATTTAGATTGCAGCCCTTGTGTCGGCACTGGCCTTTGAACTGAGTCTCAGATAATGGAAAACTAGCTGGGTTGGCCTAGGTTCAGGATGACAGATTAGGCGAGCGATTAGCACAGGCATTTCCATCATATGGGAAAGGCATTTACTATTGCTCATATGTCTGGAGCGACTAGAGACTATGCAATATTGTATTTTGGAAGTTTTTTGATGTTAGCTTACTCTTATCAGCAGTTAGAAGTGGCTCTAAATAGAGTGGAGAATGCGATAAATTCAAGAACTTTTCGTTTGCTTAACTGATTAATCTTCTAAGCAATTTAAGCATTACTTTTCATAATACTATTTCCCTACTCAGCTCACTGATTACATTTATAGTTCCGGGAATAAAATTCATAGTAAAGTTATAATTTGTAAAATTCAAATTTTATCTAAAGCCAAATCACGCCTGAAGCAATTCATTCAACAGGTTGGCTTATGAGCGAGCTTAGAATATATATATTCTTTTAACTGCCTCGTAAGAGGTGATTCCCCTGTCAAAAATGACAATTTTATGCCCGCATTTACTTCGGGACACTTAAAAATAGCTTTATTACCCAATGGCGTAACACTTTTAATTTAGACGTGCGACTTGTGTGGGGCTATTAAAAGGAAAGAATTGGCTTTACTCGGAATGAAGAGGGTCGATGGCAACGCCAACGTCAACAGCAACTGGACACAGTGCATCAGTCAAGTGGCTGGGCACGTTAATTAGGCGCTTAGAAGGGTCCTCTTTGGCCATTTAATGACAGCCTTTCGATTGGCCGCCGACGCGTCATCCAAATCCCTGAGCGGGGGCTATCTCTATAGCGCGGTTGGCCACAATTAATCCATGGCTTAAGTAATTGACAAATGATTACACATCGGACATATGGCGGCGACAACGGGCGTTGGCAACAGCTAAATACGGCGTCATAGATAGAGTCATCCAATGGCTCTTGGCACATGGCTCATGGCATGATAGACGGCTCTGTTTGGCCAGTCAAAGTTGATTTTTCCGTTATCAATGTGCCTGGCACCGGCCAGGAGGAGATTACGCAAAGGACACTTACGAAGGGGCGGCCCAGCTGCGTCGCTTTGTTGCCAGGAAATGCTGCTCCGGCGGCTCCTGGTGCTGCTGGTGCCGGTGCTGCTGCTGCTGTTGCTCCTTGAATGGATTGCGTAAACTTATCCAAGTGTCGCAGCTGCTCTTATGTTGACTCTTTGACGCCTCATTGTGTGACATGTGAGCCAAGCCAAAGTCCTTTGTGTGGACTTGTCGACGTGGCTATCCATTTGTGCGATTAGTTTTTGGCCACACAATGAACTGCAGCATCAAGGACAGTGCATAATAGTCCTTCCCCTATCTACGTCGAGCTGCATAACAGCTCCTCACACTCCAGCCCTCTCTCTTCCACCCTCTATCTCTCTCTGTCTCTATCTCACTCTGCATCTAGTTTTAGCACTTCTCCAGCCAGCTGAGAGCTGCTTTCAACAACACATTACCCAGGTGCATGCTTATTACGCGCCATATCAAACGACTTTGTAATGGACTAAATTTATCACAGGTCGCGGCATTATATAACACTTCCATGGCAACCATAATGGAGTACTACTGTACAGCGTCGAGGCGCACACACAATACTCTTAAAGAGTTCTCTCGTTAGCTTTGCCTGATTTGATATACGACTATTCACGTATCATGTGCTGAGATTGGTATGAGTATTATGAAATTTGCATAGATATATCAATCAATCAAATTTATAATATGAATATTTATATAAAGCATATCGGATAAAGGCATTTGTAATACTTTAATTTTACTATGGTTGCACTATGGCTATACGATGTCAGTCCTAGAGCTATTAAACTGTATAGAGCCCAGCCCAGTGAGGCAGTAAATAGCCTTTGGGCGTATACATATCTACAGTAATCGACAAATATATGCATACCTTTGATGGATTTGCCTTTTTGGACTTTTGAGTGACAATGCCTATACCCAAAATTAATTTATTATTTTATTTATAATTTATGCCCTAAAATATATTTTGAAGTAAAGCCAATTTTAATTGAACAAGAAAATAAATAATTGCTTAAGGGATACACATATATTTGTCGAGCACTGTGCACACCATATATTGTCAGATTCATGTTTTACATTAAAATACTCTGCCTAAAGGGCAAATATATGTAAAATGAAAGTAAACCAGGAAACCGCAGCAGCCGCCATAACTTCTGGGCAATTCTTAACTTTTTAAGTCAGCTGCCACGCCTACACAGCCACGCCTGGACTCCATGTACCGCTGTGATCAGTGCAGCGCAGCGGGGCAGTTCGTGGCGCTCTGTCATAATTTACTCCTTTGCATAGCTTAACTCTTCAGTGGCTTGCCGGAATGATGATGATTTATTAAGTCCACATTATTTTGCTTTCCCTGTTGCTTGCAGGCTCCTGTTTGGAATTTGGACACTCGTGCTGGGGCGGTAAGTTGTAAACTGACGTTATGTGGCATCATCCTATATCTCCCTCTCTCTCTCTCTCTCTCTCTGATTGGCATAGCTCACGGCAAGCGGTCGGGCAACAGGGCGGCAATTGCAGCTAAGCAGGTGAGTTCCCCATTGCGATGATTTGACAAATGTTGAGCCACATCATAAAGCACCATTATCGAGCTAATCTTATCCGGCAGCATTTAGCTTCAGCTGGATTTATAGCTAAATAACCCAGTTGAAATGGCGCAATTTGACTGCGTGTCAATTGATATATTAATTGGGACAGGAAATGTTTTTTTTTTTTTTTTTTTTT